CATAATCAATGATAATCGATATTATTAATCGAAATATTGTAACTAAAATTCAGTTTACATTTGAAACAAATAATTACTCTAATTATGCTTTAAAATCAACGAAAATTTCTTCTTTATTAAATAACGAAAATATTCTTGAATACTTAAATTTAACTGATCTATCTTTTGATGATTGTCTTCTTGTCGTGAAAGGAAGCAATGAACATATATTAACAAAAGAAGATCTTCAAAAATCTATAGATACTTATTCAATTACTGAAAATGAGCCCATTCATTTTCAAATAATGACCTTAGTACAAATAACAAAATATGACGATGAAGAACAAATAAAAGTTCCTTTATTAAATAGAAATATAACTATTGAAGAATTATTACATTTAACAAGAAAATCAATAGATATTTATAAATATTTAGCTACAAATGATACAAAACGAATTCTTAATTCTAATGAAAAACTTTCAAATTTAAATAAAACAAAATTTATTCTTATTAAAGAAAATGAAATGTGTCTTGTATTGATTAAGAAATCGAATGATTTACAACCTATTCATGTTACTGAAGAAGAAAACGAAAAATATCAACGATTTATTGTTTGTGCTACAATTGCTGATGTTAATAAAGAAAATCAACAAGATATTTTACATCAATATCTTTTGTATTCAAATGATATTGTTCCATCAACTGACATCCAATTAATAACATTTCAATCAGAATCATTAATTCAATTTATTGCCATTGATCAAAATTTACCAATTACTGTTACTATAAAAAATACTGAAGTAAATAAGTCAATTCAATTCAATTGTAGACTTTCGATAACAATAAAGCGTCTCTATGGAATTGCATGTCAACTATTCTGCTTGAAAAGAGAGTATTATTGTTTAATTATGAATGAAACTACGTTGGATGATGATGATGTCTGTTGAGAAGATATTGATGAAAATATGACTGAAGTTCAATTTAAAATAATTTCTGAAGCATCTATACATTGCTCTATCATGTATGATAATCAAACGGTTATATTACCATGCCATAAAGATACAATAATAATGATCATCGTTAAAGAAACAATGGAGAAATTACACATATCAGAAGATAATATAAACATGTATGAGTTGATAGCATTGGATGATGATCAAACACAAATTGATTTTGACTTATCCGTTGATGATATTCTCGGATCGTTTTCCACTGGTTCAACCACAATATCATTTGAATTAAAGAAAAACAAATATATGAAACAAACAATTTATACCACAAAATATATTCCATTCGCGTTTGACTTCCATGTAGTTCAGAAAATTTTCGAATAAAATTACATCCATAGTTTTTATTTTCTATGAAAAGATTTTTATCTTTTTCATTAATCCATAACTCTATGCACAAAATAATAAAGGTGTAGATGTGAGTGGTCATAATTGAAAGATTACATTGACACTCGTAACTCAAAATAAACTGTAACGGAAATGATTGCATAAACAATCATTGACTTATCTATTCGTAAATGAATCAAAATGGGTTATAGTTTTATCTTTGTAATAGTTTACTAAAGGATGAGCCAAAAGTCTTAGGCCCTGTCAGGAAAATTGCTCTTTCTCTCTTATAACATATCCCAAAACGCTCAAACTTCGATATCTAATCTCTTGTAACTAGGCGAATATTACCCTAAGTTTCCATATCTTTATCCCGACTAATAAGGGAGAGATATATAGGGTAATATCCTAGAAATATTGCTTTTCTCATGTTCTCAAACTAAAACTCAATATTGTTATTCACAACGAATATATACAACAATCACTTTTCACTACAAATGGAATCACAAATTACAGACAATTTTATAGTTTCGTGTTATTAGAATCTCTCTTGTTGATCGGATATCCTCGTTTATCAATTAGACGTTGTAATCTTCTTGGAATCGAATTCCTTAATTTTGAACACATTGAAGGTCTTATGGTTTTCCAAATCGTTACGACTCTTTTCTTTAACATTGCCACATTTTCAATTTCACTTTCTTCGGTCTTCTCTTTAACGTATCATCTCTGGACATTTTCTATCGACCAAACACTTGCCATTTTACTAAATTTAACATTTAAATATAAATCTATGCCAAATTACTCTTCAAATACATATATCCAGTTTGATATCATTCTTTTTACATGTTTTCTTCATGTTT